CAGAAAAAGAATTTATTATAGATTATTAAATAGGCTGCAGAATTATTAGGACAAAGAGAAGATTCTAAGCTGAGGAAGCAGACTCTAGGATACATTTCCAAAGCCTTGCTGCCCAGTTGGGCTTCTAAAGGAGCTGCTGCTTTGTCAGGAATTTGCTTCTCCTAACTTAGTACTCACTCTGGGGCTACACTACTTCTGCTGTATCTGCCTCATGCCCTGTCTTTCATAATTAACTTAGTTTTGCCTTCAAGTCTTGAGACTATGTGATTGGCAGAACTTAAATTATGTTCAGAACCCATAGCTGCAAGGAAATGTGGGAAGGGTAATTTTAGCTTTTTGGTCATCATAGTATAAAGAAAGATTACATAAAAAGGTTGGAATAGATTGTGAGCATGCCAATCACATTTTTGTCACAACCACTAGTCTGTATTTAAGTCAGACCAACTCAAACGTACTTTCTAAATTGACAAATCCATCCACTCAGCCTTATTGTCATAATGTGTAGTAAGCAGATGCCAGAACATACTCATATAGATGGGTGAACTGATTTTTTTATATTTATGCTGGCATGCTTCTCCTTCGTAAAAAAAATCAGCACTTTAAAGAGTCAGCAATAGCTTGTATATCTTGTTGAGGCTTATGTGAAAGTTAACAAAGATAACTACCAGACAAAGGATCAAACAATACCACTTAGGCAGACATCATTGCCTTAGGACAAAATCATCTATGTTGGAGGATTTTATTTTTGAAGACATGAAGTCAAAGTGAACTTCAGACATTATTTGTTGAGTTTTGAGGCATGAAGCAACTTGGTACACTCCTTTCTCTGCATTTCTCTTCGGTGATACGGTACTTATCAGGGCTGCTTTTATTATGAATAGTAGTTTTCTTCTTTTCTCCTTTCTTCTTCTTTGTCTATGTCTTCATCGTCTTCTTTGCTATTGTGTGTATGTGTGTGTGTGCTTGCTGGAGAGAAAGAGCAAAAGAGAAGAAGAGGGAAAATGTAGAAGCAACCCCCACTCCATGGGGGATGGCTACACTGCAGTGCCTTCTCCATTTTTTCCAGGATTTTGGGCATGCATGCACATGCACCCAGCATGTTTTTCAAGCTTCCAGGTCCAGGAATCAAACTACGCAGCTGGCCATATTGGATCCAGTCAGCTTAACCATAATGTCACCAGTGACCTTTGTTTTCTTTTTAATTTAATTTTTTTTATTATTATTTTTCTCTCTTTTGCTATATGGCATGTGCACTCATTCGGAGAGACAGAGAAAGCCAGAGAGACAGAAAGCAAGAAATCACTCCCCCAGAGGGGATGGTCACACCACAATTCCTTCTACTTCATTCTCCTTTGGGATTTTGGGCATTCATTTCATGCTCCCAGTGTGAGTTTCGATCCTCACGGTCCAGGACTTGAACTGTGATTGCCCATGTGGAAGTCCAGCAATGTAACCATTATGCCATCTGCTGGTCCCTTAATTCAAATTGATATGTAATAACTATACATATCTAGAAGGTATGATGTGAGTTTTCAGTGCAAGAATACAATGTGTATCAATCAAATCAGGGCAATTAGTATATCCACCATCTCAGCCATTCGTATTTATGTTGAGAACGTTCAAAATCTCTCTATTTATTTATAATGTTTTGCTGTAGTGTGTGTGCTAGAGAGAGGCAGAGAGGGGGAATAGTGAGAAATCACTGCAATCTCTTCTCCTCCATTCTCTTCCTGGGATTTTGGGCACACACACACACACTCACATACCACTCTCCTGCATGATTTTCAAGCCACTAGGTCACTTGAACTGTGGTTGGCCTCATGGGAATTCAGCACCTTAACCACCACACCATGTTTTGACCCTCACACTTTCTTTTTTTACTAATAGTTACTCCAAGCCATGCAATAAATTATTCACCCTACCATATAGTTTTTAAAAATAATTTTTAAAACTGAATGTTCTCACCGGAGAGAGAGAGAAAGCACACCCTAGTGCAGCGTGGTCATGCTACAATCCGTTTCCCTTCATATCTCCCTTTTTGTTTGTTTGTTTGCTGAGTGGGTGTGTGCTTGCTGGATCATGGACATGCACACACATATGCCCAGCATGTCCCATGCCGATCATGTTTTTCAAACTGCTGGTACTGGGATTTGAACTATGGTTGACTATGTGATATCTGCTTCCTACCCTAACCACTGCACTTGAGCCCAGTCTCCAGGAAATTATTCCTCTTATCTGTAATTTTTTTTTACATTAAGTGGGGCTCACTGAGTAGGTAACTGTTCCTTTTTTTTTTCTTTTGGTCTAGTTGAGTTTTGTTTCATCGGGTGACTAAAATGTTCCAGCATTCTTACTTATCTTTAAAAAATATCCTTTGTCCTTATACAAATGGTGGTTCACTTGGAAGAATTTTGTTAGATTAATTTCATTATTACAGACTATCTCAATGCAAAAGATAAAGACAAATCATATTAAGGGACTAATAGGCTGTTAACTGATCTAAATGAGCAAATGGCTTTTTTGTCTCTTTCTTGCCCACGCTAAAGCATCTTCCCACTGAATTATATAGTTACTTTTCCAAATTGGATTTTACAGGCAATGCTAAATGAAAGTGATATTTTCCTTTATTTACTCTAAGAACTGATCTAAATGAACGTTTACTCTCCTTTAATTTTTTAGTCACTGATTCTTAATTAGTATAATTCTGTTCCTTATTGTTTGATTGTCAAGGCGCTAGTTCAACTGTTCTCATAATGGCTATTTTTACTTTCATTTTAAAAATGGCAAATAATGTAATGTTTTAAATGTCCCATATGCTGAGACACCATGCTACTGTAAATCTTTTGGCTCTAATATATAAAGTCAGGAATGAGGTGAAATAGCATTTCTCTATCATTTGACATACTATAAAACAAACCCTGCATTTAGAATTTCATTTTGGCAGGAAAATGTTGTAGAATGTATAACATTTTCAGTTTTTAGAAAAGTCTGAGATTTCATAAGTCTATGGCTTTTACAACATTATAGTAATGACTTTTATATTATGTAAAATAAAATTAAAATTCTTTTTTGTTATAGGGCATATGCATGAGAGAGAGAGAGAGAGAGAGAGAGAGAGAGGGGCACAGTGAAATCACCCCTCCTAGGGGGATAACTAAGCTGCCATTTTTTTCTCCATTCTCCTCTTGGGATTTTGGGTATGCATGCATGAGCCTGGTGTGTTTTTCCAAGCTGCTGGGTCCAGGACTGGAACCACCCAGTTAGCCATGTGGGATCCACCTGCATTAATCTTCACACCACCTGCTAGTCCAAGTCAGATTTCTTTTTCTTCTTTTTCCTTTTATAATTTGCCAGAGGGTGTGTGCACTCTTGGGGGGAGGGGGCAAAAGGGGGTGGGAAGGGGAGAGAGAAATAGAACATTGTTCATGGGAAATTGTCACACCACAATCCATTCTCCTTCATTTCTCCCGCCTTTTGGGATTCTGGGTACACACAAACACACACAGGGTGTGTGTTTTTCAAGTCACTAGGTCTGGGGCACAAACTGAACACTGAGCACATTGGTTGGATCCAATGGTCCCAACCACCATGTCACTGGCTGACCCCCTTTTTCCTGCTTTAGAGTTCAGGTTATCTCCTCATCTGAAGTCAATGAGAGAAATAGTTAATGGTTGTAAAGATATCAAGCAAAGTAATACACTGAAAAATGACAGAAGAAATAAGACTCATAATTGGAGACAAGGAAATAGGTTGGATTCATATGGGTAAAGATACTAGACTGATGAGGCTAGAAGGCGATGTAGTGGTGAAAGCTCTGGACTCCCACGTGGGGGTCTGAGGTTGAAGTCCTGGACCTGGTGGCTTGAAACTCTCCTGAGGTGCATGTGCCTGTGCACCTGAAATTATGAGAGGAGAATGCAGAAGAAGGGATTGTGGCATGGTCATCACTCCTGGGGATGATTTCTCATTTTCCCTCTATGTCTCTCTGGTGAATACATGAACCTTACAGCAAAAAATCTATCTAAATAAAAAAAAAAAAAAGATAGCAGATTGGCCTCATCATCTATAGATTTGATAAATTACTCTTCAAATATTCCATTTCCTCATCCCTTAAAATGGGATGAATAATGTCTGCTTCTGAGGTTGTCGTAAGGATTACATTAGATAATATACTTAAAGCACTTAGCACAATATCTGGAACAGAGAAAATATTCAATTAATTTACTTAGTATTGCTATTGATACAATTCCAGGCAGGCATTGAGATCCCAAATGCTGGTAGAGAGGTTTCTGAATTTGAAGGCAGTTAGCAAGCCTTGCCTGATTCACTTTACCTTTCATTTAAATTACCTTGAAGTATGTTGAAACTAGACTACTCAGCAATGACTTGTCTTGCTTGACTAGGAATTTTCACCTATACACTAGAGGTGAAATACCAATTTTCTGGGGAAAAAATTGCCCAAATTGATTAAACATAAGATATAAACATGAATAAATTAATAATCATGGGGAAATTACTCCACCTCCCAAGTGACACTATGTGCAGTCAGAAAATAAGAACTTTTTTAAGTTTCCGAAAAAGGTAATTCAGGGATCAGCAGTTAATGTAATGGCTATGTTGCTGGACTGCCATGTAGTCGATTGTGGCTCACTTCCTGGACCCAGTGGCTTAAAACTCACGCCGGGCACGTGTGTTTGCATGCCCAAGATCCCGAGAGGACAATGGAGGAGAAGGGATTGCGGCATGACCATCCCCCCTGGGGGGTGATGGGGTGATTTCTGTCTCTCAGTCTCTGTCTGTCTTTTGGGCGAGAGCACTTGCCCTATAGCAAAAACCTCTCCAAAAAAAAAAAAAAAGAAAAAGATAATTCCGTTAAACTGGCATGTTGGCAGACTTCAATGGGCCTGCCCTATGCGCGGCAGCCACGTGCCCGCGTGGCAGCCACGTGCCTGTTCCACGGCACGTGGGCTGTAGGCTCCCGCCAAGCCCGGCAACGCCCAGTGCCGTGCGCACAAGGGCAGCTTGGACCTCAGCGACTGAAGCGAGCGCGGGCTCCCAGCCTTGGGCGAGGCCCAATTCCAGGCCTTCTGTCGCTGTCAGCCCGCTGCCACCGCTGAGGGGTGATGGTCACTGCTTAGTCGCCGAATGTGCCAGGACCAGCCGCAGGCTTGCAAGTAGCAGCCGGCCTTCCCAGGGTCAGACTGCTCTGACCCTCTTCTCGAGAATTCGGTGACATTTCCACTTCAGCTTTCCTGAGGAAGCCCGAGTTAGGAAGCCGCCTGTAGAGGAGATTTGGAGGGGCTCTTTGGTAAGCCCAGGTTTGCAGAAAGTGAGTACAGCATCAGTGCCTTCATAATCAGGAGTGTCCAAAAGGACAGAGGCCCACGTTACAATAAACGGAAGCTGTGGTTGGAAGTCATGGTGAAGACACACTCGCATTCTGAGCCCAGGTAAATAGCAGAACGATTGGTTTCCTGTCTTTCTGTCCCCTCTGCTGACCCTGCCCCCTGAAAAAAATAGGAATAAATATTATACATGTCATAAAAAAAAAAAAAAAAAGGACCAGAAGGTGGTATACTGGTTAAAGTGCCAGACTCCCGCATGGTGGAGTGAAGTTCAAGTCCTGGACCTGGAGGCCTAAACATCACGTGTGTGCGTGTGTACGTACATGCGCTGCACGGGCCAAAATCCTTAGAGAAGGGATTGCGCTGTGGTCATTGGGGGTGGGGGGTGGGGGCATGGTCATTTATTTTATTTCTTTCTTTTGGAACCTTAAGCATAAGTGTTTATTCTATGTACCCAGTCAGCATTGAGTTGTTGTTGTTGTTGTTTTTTAATCTGTAGAGTCTTATTTAAATTTACATTTTATTACATCTTTATATTATACATTTCTTTTTCCAACACAAATACCACGCATGCCAGTCAAAACAAAAATATTACTATATATAGCATCATCAGCAAATACCTGATCATTTTTTGTCAATTAAGCATATTTTTACCTGTTTTTTTCTTCCTCTTTTCCCTCTCTCTCTTCCATACTAAACATTTTTTTCCCCACATTTTATTGATTCACAAAAGATCTTAAAGTATGGACAAAGCTAGAATCTAGGAACAAGTGTATTGTAATTTTCTTCTGAAACAATTTTTCTTTTTCCCTCTCCATTCCCACTTTAAAGAGGTATAAACTAACTTATTTGCCAAAACAAATTAGGTTAATCTCAATTCGGTCTATTATTTGCACAAAGCCCCGTAAGAATTCAATTTTTTTATGCAAGGCAACAGATATTACTGTATTATTGAACTTACGCAAATAGCCATTTTGCCACAAAATAAGGATGCTCACAAATATTTTCCAATTTCAAAGGGATCAGGAAGAGAGAAAAGTTTGTTTTAATTAAAAAATTCTTTTTTTTTTTAACAAATTGCTAAACCCAACAACTCAAAAGAAAACAAAACTCTTTAAATCTGGAAGACAAAGCATAGAAGAAAATCAGTACTGTTTTAGAAAAAAGTCATAGAATTCTATTTCACCAGTTCAGTCTTGTGTAATCTCTCTTTTGTTGAATTTGCAGTGTTACTGTGGTTCGATTTTTCTGTTAACGTTCAACATTATTATTGGTATTTCAGAACTTGTTTCTATCATTAAGTTGGCCGCCTTGTTTGTTTTTTATTCTCATTTGTCTGTCTTTAGTTTTTCTGGTATAGTACTTCCTTCAGAATTTCTTGAAGAGCTGATCTGGTGTTGGTAAATTCTTTCACGTTTTGTTTATCTGAGAATGTTTTTTATCTTTTCTTCCCATTTGTAGGATAATCTTGCCGGATTCTTCGTTGAAATTGTTTTTCACTTAACACTTTGAATATATTTTTCCATTCTTTCCTTGTTAGCCTGAGGCCCAATGTTAGCCTGATGGGATACCCTTTGAAAATAACTTGATGTTTTTCACTTGCCAATTTTAGTATTTTGTCTCTGTGTGTGGTTTTGGTCAGTCTGGCTATGATGTGCCTTTGAGAAGATCTTCTTGGGTTGATTCTATGTGGGGTCCTTTGTATTTCTTGGATGTGGATATGTGAATGCCTCTCTCTGTTTGGAAAGTTTTCTTCCAGGATTTCATGGAATAGATGATCAATTCCCTGATTAGTTTTATTCACCTTCTGGGATTCGATTATCCGCATGTTTGGGCATCTAGTGGTATCTAGTATTACTTGTATGTTGTTCTCATTTTTTGGGGTTATTTTCTTTGTCTTTTTGGTGAATTTTTCTAGATCAGAGAGGTCTATCTTCTACATCTGAGATTTGATCTTCTGCATGATCTTATCTGCTTTTAATACTTTCAAGGGAGGTTTTGATTCCCTGTATTACAGCCTTCATCTCTAACAGTTCCGTTTGATTCTTTTTTTATGGTATTTCCTCTTTCAGGTCATGGAAGAACTTCACCTCCTGGAACTTGTTGTCTCTTTCCTCCTGCATTTTCTGGGGTTCCTAGTCTCTCTTCTCTTGCATCTCTGTTAGCTTTGTCACTTTGAATATCCTAAAATCTTCATCTGACATTTCCAGGAGTTCCATTGTGCTGTTTGTGGATGATGAAGAGCTGTTCTTTCCCCTTGGGGGAGGGATATTTTCTTGATTTCCCATATTTCTTGTGCCTCTGTGGTGGTGGTTTCTGGTCATCTGATGGTTTATATGTTACTTCCTACCTTGCTTTTCAATGGGTGTTGGGCCAGAAGGAGGGGTTTGGAGCAGAGGCTTTCTTGTTAAAGGGGCAGGGCTAGAACCACTTCAGATGCACATGGATTCTGGCTTTCACTTGGTGTTGGGCCGGAAGGAGTGAGCCTTTTTTATTTTATTTTTTAAAATATATTACATTTAATCACATAATTTTCTTTTTTTTAGAGTTTTTTTAAAAAAAATGGCTGTTGGGCACGTGTGCTCGCTGGACAGAGAGAGACAGAGAGACAGAAAGTGAGAAATCACCCCCCAGGGGGGATGGTCACGCCGCAATCCCTTTTCCTCCATTCTCCTCTCGGGATCTTGGGCACGCACGCACACGCGCCCGGTGTGAGTTTAAGCCACTGAGTCTGGGACGTGAACCGCAGTCCACTACATGGGAGTCCAGCGACATAGCCATTACGCTAACTGCTGGTCCCAGTCACACAATATTTTTACAGTGTATTACATTTCTTTTTCCAGCACAGTTACCATGCGTATTAGTCAAGACAAAGACATTACTATCCACATCATCATCATCAAATAGCTTTTCATCATTTTTTTTTCAGACTATTGTTATTCTCATTTTTAAAACATTCAATCACTGTGTATCATTTGGCTTGTAAAGAGAATTTACCCAACATGAAATACTTCTCAGACCAGTCCAGTTGAGAATACTATACGTGTTATCATCAACAGGTAATAAACCATTTCTGTGTCTCACTGATGTCATGCCTCTATTTGTTCTCTTGGTATCCTTCTCTATATCCTTTCTTTCTCCCCCAACCCTGTTCCATGGGGGGGGGGTGTCATTTCTCACTTTCCCTCTCACTGTCTCTCTCTTGTCCCTCTGGCAAGAAAATGCACCCTATGCAAAAACATTAAAATAAAAAAGAAAAAGAAAAAAAAATTTTAAAAATAGAGCTATAGAGAATAGAGACAACATGCTCAAACTTGATCAATTAATTTATGAAAGTAGTATGATGCTGATACAAAACTTGATAAAAAGGTTTGAATACTTGAACAGAGATCTGGATCAAAGATGATCATCAGGATGGAGTATCATGTAAATATCCTTTTTGAAAGACATTTAATGTCAGAAAGTGTATAATGTTTCATGAAAGAAAAGGGCACACAATTTTATATTCAGCAGAATCACTTTTGTTAGTAAAAACAGCTGGATTCCACATGGCTGACTGTGTGGGCTCAGCCCCAGACTCAGCAGCTTGAAACTCAGTCCAGGTGTGTGTGCATACATGACCAAAATCCTGAGAGGAGAATGGAGGAAAAGGGATTAGGGTGCGTCTGTACCCGAAAAGGATGACTTCTAATTTTTCGTCTCTGTCTCTGTCTGGTGAGCACAAGCACCCTATGGCAGAACCCTAAATATATATATCTATATCAACAACAGTAAAATCTGTGTAGTACAAGTGTGGTAACTTCTGTGTTTTTACTCACTTCTTTCTCTTTCTTCCAAAGTCTCTATAATGATTGTTCTTATTTCTATAATCAGAAAAGAAATATTATTTTAAAAGAAGATAGTGGCTATATAAAAATGAAGGCATGAAGAATATCATAAAATTGATATTACTTATGAAAAAAGATTGGTGTGAAAATTTTATGTGGCTTAGTCCTCAGTAAACTTTGGAAGATTTGTCCTTTAATTTTTCTTTTCTTCATTTTCTATTTAGTCCCTTAACTTCTTTTTCTTTTTCTATTTCCTTTTCTTTTTCCCTTTCCTTTTCCCTCCCCCCCCCTCTCTTTCTCTTTCT